CTGAGTTCGCTCTGTCTCTGTCTGAGAGGTAGCTGATTGGCTGGCAGACGATCCAGCTGGTTTAGCTGTGAGATTAAAGGCGAGAGCTGCAACAACGAGCACGGCTGGATGTTTTTTCCCGTGAAGCTGGAAACCTCTTTGTTTCCCTGCATGTTTAAACAGCTGGTTAGTCTGTCCAACAGCAGCTCGACCAACCGGGCCTGTTCCACCGCAACACTCTGAATCACTCCCTGTGTGTGTGTGTGTGTGTGTGTGTGTGTGTGTGTGTGTGTGTGTGTGTGTGTGCTGGGATGCCTGTGGCGTGAAGTCAGCGTTTCTGCCGGGCTCTATGGTATGAAGGCTGCTTGCTCACCTAGAGACACACACACACACACACACACAATCCAGTATCTGTGTCCACCATCTTGTCTGTTAGCAGAGTAAACACACACACACACACTGTAGTTGCTGGTCTGTGTGCATGCTGCATTCACTGTCCCCTTACAGCAAAGGACATTTACAATCATTAGGAGTTCAGTTTAAGTCATTAAAGTTTAAAATAACTCACATCTGTTCACATCTGTCTGTGATCAGCTGTTGGTAAAGGAGAAACCACGAGAGATCAACAATAATCTTTAAATGAGTTAATTAATTATAATAATTAATTAATGGTGTTGACAGGCACAAAATATGTACATTAAAAATGTCAAACAAATATTATCACTGGAAATTTTAAATAATGAAGAATGAAATAAAGTATTAGGAAAGTAATACCAGATATTACTGTTTAAAAATTGTAATTGAAACTGGAACTCGTTTATTTAAAAGGGCAAAAAAATGTATGTGAAAAACCAAAAATTATTACAAATATTGAAAAATATCTTGAAAATGAATAATTTAATGTCACAAGAAATGTCAGAGCAGTCTATGAAATGTTAAGAAAATGTAAATAACGTGTCTTACACAGGAAATAAAGGATGTTTTAACAAAGTAACAAAGTAAAAGGAAATTTTCTATAAATAAAAGATAATATAAAAAATGTAGTTTTTTAATTGTGAAAATTGGAAATCCCTTAGAATTTCTTATATTATTTTTTAAATTAAAATGAAAATTTTTATTGTAATATTGATAATAATAATAATAATAATAATATTACAATTTCAATACATTTAAAAATAGAAAATAAAAAAGCTTTATATAAAAGGTCATAAAACATTAAAAACGTTTGCAAAAACAGAAAAATCGTAAAGTATAACATAAAATCATTTAAATGTAGGGTTGCATGTAGGGTTAAAAAGTATTTAAAGAATTAATACAAAGTCAGAAGCAGAGGTGCTGCAGATGCTGCAGATGTTGATGCAGCTGTGTGGAAATGTGCAGCGAGACTGACGGTGCTGATCAGAGCGATGATGTCACAGTGTGTGTGAAGAGCTGACCACGATTTGAGGACCATTGCCTGCGTTTGTAAATGGCGTCTGGATTTGTGATGCTTGAGGAAACTCGTGATGTTTCATATTAATAATGATCACATTACTCAAACAGAAAAACCTGTAAAACCTGATCACAGAGTTAAATAAAACTGGCTTCAGACTGAGCCTGAATAAAAACAGTCCAGCCTGAAAGGAGCTTGTTTGAGGTTTATTAGTTGTTTTCCTGCCGCATGTGTTTAAATAAATGACACAACTGTAGCTTTCATAATGTTGAGCTGCTCTGTGTTTAGTGTTAAACATTCCTACGTGTTTGCAGGTTCCACCATTTGAAATAACAGTTTCTTAAATATGTTTTTAGATATTTTTTTAAATCATTTTCATCGCTTCATATTTCCTCTCTTATTCAGGACTGATTACATCATTTCTGAGCATTTAACCAGTGCAGGTAGCAGATAAATATCAGCCACAGACGTCAGTGGATGTTATCGCTGGCATTTCTAATAACTGACGAGCATTAAAGTTTGTGAAATATGAAAGGGGACAAATGTGTGGGGGTTTCCATGGTTTAAAATTCGTGTCAGCAGAAAGAATAACAAACGCGGTCGTAGTGACGACTGATTTGTTGTTTGCTATATTTCACACAAGGAGAGAGAAGAAAAAGTGAAACGATGTTTTTGTTGCTCTTTAATGCCGTCCTGTTGTCCCTGTGAAGAACTTGCTGCCAGCTTTGCTTCAGTATCTCCGGGTTTGATTTGAGAAGCGTCACCTCTGTGCTATGAGATTAAAGGCTGAGATGGAAATGAAATCAAAACCGCAGCAGATCAAATTTACAGCAGGAATGTCAAACAAACTTGAAGTAAAACCGTCCGTTGGTCCTCGGAGTCGCGCTCTGGTTTCATCAGTCTCACTTCACTGAGACGACACACAAAGATGATTCGCTGCTGCTTTGGTTTAAACATGTGTGATGCTTCAGTGCAGTCAGCAAAGGCAGAAGTTGGGCGCCGCTTCATTTGTTTCTCTTTGCATGAGCATCCCCATACTGACATCTCACTCAATCACAGAGGAAACAAACCAATCTGGTCTGAGACAGGACGTCACAAAGACCCAACAATCGATCCCCCGATTCCTGCGCTACACACTCCAACAAAGTCTTATCGTCATTAATGTCGCTCTTATAGTTTTATTATTTAACGTTGAGCAGTTTACGCACGAGCAGGGGGAAAGGTGCATTAATCAGGGACTAGTTTTAGTGGCGGATTAATCCGTGTTTGTTTCTAAACCTGCAAACGAAGCTGTAGTGTTATGTTTCACTATTTTCCTGAATCAAAAAGGGAACAAGATACAGACAGAGTTAGGTTTACTCGATAGTGAGGCCAGGATTGTACTCAGTTAAATGTACTTCCGAGGGTGGTTTCGTTTTTTTATTTGAATAAATTGTTCAGTAAAATCAGGAATTCATTCACACACAAGCGTCTCCAAAGATGGAATAAATGCACTGATGTTTATATAGCGTGCCTTTCAACTTCATTTAAGCACTCGAGGCTCGTACTTACTACAAGATTCAGTCACTTATTCATACAGACATACAAACATTTTCTGTTTTATTCTAACATTCACACACTCGGGTGGATGACTCTGAGACAGCTCTGGGTTCAGAAAATTGACCATGGAGGATTTGACATGTAGGTTGGAGGAGCTGCTCCACCACCTGAGCCACACCTGTTTGGCTGATGTCCATTGATGTTCACTAGTTCACTCATTTGCTATTGTGAACGGTGCTGTTGGAGCTACCACACAGTTAGTCCTTATATATTTTGTAGGTGGGTGGTGAAGGGGCCTAAAATGCTCTGGTTGAAGCTGGAGTCTGATTGGAGGACAGGGTGGAGGTAGAGCAGATCGTCCACTAGTTGAAAGGTTGGTGGTTCGATCCCTGGCTACTCCAGCGTGTGTGCCAAAGTGTCCTTGGGCAAAATACCGAAGCATTAGTTGCTCTGTGTGTTTATCGAAGTGTTAATGTGAGGTTAAAAGTGCTTAGAGAAAAGCACCTGTGTGGAAGAGACTGGTACTCTGGATTAGAAAGCACTGTGAAACACATACTCAGAGAAACTGAACATTTTTCAGCAGACACTCTCCTTAAGCCTCAGAACGAACTAAAATGCGCTTGCTGTGGATTCATGTGAACTCTGAGCTGAACCAAAGGTTGTTTTTTCAGAGGAGATGTCCACGCTGTAGCATCACGGTGCAGTCGTGTCGCGTTTCCGTGGTTAATCAGTGAGACGACTCCTCTACCAGAGGATCGCATACTTTTCATCCACGTCAGATCATTTTATCTATAAAACAGTGAAGTGATGGAAACGGAGTACTCAGGACTTCCCCGAGCCACCGCTTAGTGAGCTTTTGTTGGAATGTCAGTCATGTGATGATTACAGACCGCCGAGGACGAAATTATGGAGCAGCCGCACACACGTGCTAACACATCAACACCAGCAGACCAATCGCAAACAGGCTGATGATCATCCCACTCTGATAGATGATTGACTGTCAGATCAATAACCTGCTCACTGTTTAACAGACCTCACGCACACACACACGCACACACACACGCACACACACACGCACACACACACACACACACACACACACACACACACACACACTGACTGTAACAGTATCTGATGAGGTTCCTTCCCACGAGAACCCGACTGGAGTGTAAAAATGCCCGAGGCGAGGGAGATCGGCATACACTGGCACACAAAGAGACATAAAGGTTTGGGAAAAAGAGGAACAATAAAAAGGAAAAAAGTAGGAAAGCGGGTGAAAAAGAGCCTCGTGGAGACGAGGAAGAACAGGAATGTCAAGAGAGGGGAAAGAATGAAGGGAGGAGCTTAGGAGACGCTAATGAAAGGGGGAGAGAGGAGCAAACATTGTTTGAATGCTTCGGATGAGTTAGAGGTAAGAAAGACGAATAAAAGCACGAGAGAAGCTGGGAAACAAAAGCATAACGAGAAAGGGAAGAGGAGAAAAGCAGAAAGATGAATAGAGGAAGTAAGAGTGCATTAACAAGAAAAGGAGGAAGAAAAGGAAAGATGGAGATGAATGGGAGAAGATAAGAAAGGCAGAAACCGTAAAACAGAAAAGAGAAGAAAGAAAAGAAAAGGCAGTTTAGAGAGTCGAGGAAAACTTAAGGACGAGGGGAAAAATAAGCGGTGAGGACTATATGAAAACTGTATGGAAGAGGACAGAGAAGAGAAGGAAAGGAAAAAAGGATGACGGGGGAATGGAAAACTGAGGACTGGAAAAAGAAGAGGAGGGAAAGAAAAGAGCGGGAATGAGGAAAAACCCGGCTCGTAAAATGAAGGGAGGAGTGCTGGGAAAGAGGAGGAAAAGTGGTCTGAGCAGCCTGGAGGTCCATGGAAAAAATAGATATTAAAACCACAATAAAAACAGTAGAAACACGACTAAAGGATCAGCAGAAAGACACTAAAATTGACAAAAGTAGTGAAGAAACCCTCTGTGCTGTGTGATTTGGATTTTGTTCTGTATGTTTATGACGATTTTTTTAAACCGTGCTTTCTCATTGGCTGTCCTCAGGTGGTGGGCGGAGCTGAAAAATGGCGGGTGCATCAGTGAAGGTGGCGGTGCGAGTCCGCCCGTTCAACTCCAGAGAGATAGGACGCAACGCAAAGTGTGTGATCCAGATGCAGGGAAACACCACCTGTAAGAATGACACACACACGTTCTGTCCTTTAGGATTTGTGGGGCCCCTCGCTGAGACACTAACCTGAAGACGTCCTCACAGGATCTGAAACATACAGACGTCCTCAAAAAGATAAAGAAAGAAGAACAAATAAATTAGAAACCATAGAAATATATCACAAAGGTTTTTAGATAATGAGAGGCCGGTCACTGTCCTCATAATAAGACACGGCATAATGAGGACACACCACTGGCTAAGAGAACAGAGTTTTTATGATCACCATCTCATTATGATGTAATGAGGATTTTTATTGTGACCTTGAATCATAAACTGTGTATAACATGGATATATACATATTAAAGCTTCAGGTGTAGCATTGTGGCAGCACCCATGTTGGTGTTTTGGAGGTCAATCTTCTGTCACGAGCGTTAATGAAGTTAAAACTGACCTTCAATTTAAATGCTGTGAACCTGCTCGTCGCAGATTAGCCATGACATCACTGTGACATCACTTTAATGTGACTAAAGAATAAAAAAGTCCCTGAACTGGAATAGAAATAGCAGCATTTAGCTTGAAGCTAACAGTCACTATTGATTTTAATAAATAATGCTGATGCTCTCCTTACCTAACCTTTCTGTGGGTTAGGGGCTTTTATGGCCTCAACGTTCCCATGGGAACGTCATGTGACGTCTGATCCTATTGCTGCATAAACTGACAGACACACACAGGCTGTTTATTAATAGACTTTGCTGCAGCAGGGCTGTTATTAGCAGCTGTGTGTCCATCTGACAAATACTTATATGCAGAGCCCGTCATATATTCTGTGAATGCTGGGAGTGGCCACATGCAGATATCCCCACTTCAGTAGTGACACTTTGTTGCCTCCACATTTGAAAGTGAGGAGAAAAGAAATAAAACTGGAGTGTGTCCACAGACTTCTCGTCATGCAGTGAAGGTTGTTTCTTTTATGATTCTTTCCAGGCATCTCCAATCCCAAACAGCCCAAAGATGGAGCCAAGAACTTCACCTTTGACTACTCTTACTGGTCACACACAACGGTGATAACACACTCTCTCTGTCTCACACACACACACACACACACACACACACACACACACACACACACACACACACACACACACACACACACACACACACACAGAAAACATCAATAGTATAACCCAAAATCAGTGATAACAGTGTGTTTGTGTCCCTGCAGCCCGATGACCCCGGCTTCACCTCTCAGACACAGGTGTATAAGGACATTGGAGAGGAGATGCTGCTGCACGCCTTCGAAGGTAAGCCTGAACGCCCTCTCAGAGGTCAAAGAAGAGCCCAACCTCTATTTGCTATAATGGAAATATTTTTTTTATTAAATTCTAAATTATTTTGGCGGTTTCGGTCCTCCACAGTCCAGCTCCAACTATGTAGCTAATGAGACTAATGGTGACCAGTAACAACGCTGATACTTGTTACTCTACTGATACTGATGTGTAAAATGATACTGTTGTTGCTGATGATGATGCTGATCATGACAGCACGATTATATTCTACATAGGCTGGCTGATGGTCTTAATGTCTAATACAGGAATGAGTTATTTATAATTTTACAATAACTTGTAATGTTGTGGTTGTTGTTTTCCAGGATACAATGTGTGTATATTTGCTTATGGACAGACGGGTGCAGGGAAGAGCTACACTATGATGGGCAAACAGGAGCCTGGTCAGGAAGGGATCATACCACAGGTCATATCACATCATTGCTGCATTAAAATGCTGCTGTCGCTTTAATGTTTGCTGATTCAAAGGGATAACTGATGAAGAATTATATTAACGTGCGTCTGTCTGTGTGTTCAGCTGTGTGAGGACTTGTTTCAGAGAACAGGAGAAAACACAGATCCTGACCTGACCTACTCCGTCGAGGTAAGCCCTCATCTAACCTAGATCAGTTTTAGTTAAATCGATTTCCCTGATTAAACATCATCTTCTCCATCACAGGTGTCCTACATGGAGATCTACTGCGAGCGGGTTCGGGACCTGTTGAACCCAAAGTCCCAGGGCACCCTTCGGGTCCGGGAGCATCCCATCCTGGGGCCCTACGTGGAGGATCTGTCCAAACTGGCTGTGACTGGATTCACGGACATCCGGGACCTGATGGACGCCGGCAACAAAGCTCGGTCAGTTTTCTTCCAGATAATTTCAGAGGTCGAAGTTTTAAAGAAAGTGCAAAAGGCTGCAGATGTCTGTAAAGTTTGAAAAACATAAACGGTTTCCTACTGGTAACCAATCCACCACATAATACAGCAGCTCTGTAGACTTGTTGTCTATCTTTTGAGCCAAGATCAGATTGATACCCAGTCAGTCCATCACTGGTGATATGTTATTTGCCCATTAGCCGATGTTTCTTATTCTAGTTAGGCCTGGTTAAAACATGCAGATTTGTTATAAATATAATTTTTTTATTATTATTATAAAGAATGAATTGCAGTAACATCAAAATAATCAAGTTCATTTCTGATTGCAGGACGGTTGCAGCTACAAACATGAATGAGACGTCATCCAGGTCCCACGCCGTCTTCACCATCGTCTTCACCCAAAAACGACGAGATCAGATGACCAGCCTGGACACTGAGAAAGTGTGTCTGCTTCTCTATTTTGTCCCCGCGGGGCATTTTCTTCCAAATGTCAGGTCTTTATTTTGATTCTTGAACTTTTCTCTTCAGGTCAGTAAGATCAGTCTGGTCGACCTGGCTGGAAGTGAACGAGCAGACTCCTCTGGGGCAAAGGGCACGCGGCTCAAGGTTGGAGATAATGTGGAGCAATCACATTAATTATCTACTCATGTGCTGCTCATTTTCATGCATCCAGTGCCAGATTCATCATGTATTCACTGTATGTTTGCATGCAGGAAGGAGCAAACATCAACAAATCTCTGACCACATTAGGAAAAGTGATTTCAGCTTTGGCTGAAATGGTAATTCAACACTGTCCATATTTACAAGTCAAATAATATCAGATGTGTGCAATGTGGGAGATGATTGCTGACTGCTTCTTGTCTCTGATCTGCAGCAGAGCAGTAAAAAGAGGAAAAGTGATTTTATTCCCTACAGAGACTCTGTTCTCACCTGGCTACTGAAGGAAAACCTGGGTAAGTAGAGCATTGGTAGGTCCAGTGTTAAAGGAGAACAGTAGAAAGAGTCATTTAAGGCTAACAGCCATTAGTAATATTGTCAATACTAGGACCAACGGCATGTTTCTTTGACCAAACTATTAATAAGACTTGTTGTATCAGGACTTATAGTACATCTTAACCTGTCAGGGCTAATAGTACACTTAACCACACAGACATGTATGGAGTTGCTGAGTTAATATCAGACTTAGTTTAAGTACCTTAAAGGTTTGATGTGTGCTTCTTTCAGGAGGAAACTCTCGCACAGCAATGATTGCTGCGCTAAGTCCTGCTGACATCAACTACGAAGAAACACTGAGCACTCTGAGGTCAGTTACTGGGTGTCATCTGTCTATGAGGCTTTTTATGGATCAGTTAATGTGTTTTTAGGCAGCAGATGATTTAGTCAGATCAATATAATCTTAATTCTCTCCGGTTCGGTTCCAGGTATGCTGACCGTGCCAAACAGATTCGCTGTAACGCTGTGATCAATGAAGATCCAAACGCCAAACTGATCCGAGAGCTGAAGGCTGAAGTGGAGCGACTGAGAAATCTGCTGTTTTCTCAGGGCCTGCAGGAGCTGCTGGACAATGCTGGTATGCACACATTTTATACAGAATAATGAACCTTATCTGCTGTTCAGTCTGACGCCCGGGTCCAAATCCTACTTCTTCCAGGTCTTACAGTAAAAGTTTAACATCAAAGTAAGCATGAGAAAAAGAATGAATGAGGCGATTTTCTGACTGAAATATTTGTAAAACTGAATCTTTTCAGCTCTGCTGTTACTTTGGATGTAAAGAAACATTTATTTTGGTGAAGTTGGGCTAGTTGGCTAATGATGGTGGGAAGCTACACAGCTATGGTGATTCTAACACTTCATTCACACAGGCCTGAAAACCTGTGAAAACCTGAGAAATGTCACAAAGAAGGTCCCGACACCCAAACTTTGCTTGCGATTGCTTTGGGTGCTGACAGATTACCTTTGTCGCCAATAGTTTATATGGAAGATGCAGATTGGTCAGCATTTATTCACAGTTTACTCTCTCTGCTGTTGTGGAACTTGAACTACATTATAACAGCCTCACTACTGAAACCAGCACATTTCAAAAGATGCAGATTTTTCAAGGCAAACGATCTCTGCTCATGGTTTGTGCCACACATTTCACTGCATCTTCCAAACAAACTGCTGGAGACCAAGGCAATCTCTTAAAGAGCAAAGCAGTTGCAGGGCTTTGGTGCAGCACTGTAAATTTCTCTGTAACAAGTTTTTGTGCCAACAGCAATCATTTGGGGAATACAAGTTTTTCAGTTGCAACAGGTGGTTGTCAACGGGTCTCCAGCCCCGTGTGACTAGAGCCTAATACAAATGCATTAGCAGAGGGAAGGAGCAGGGCTATAGCTCATAATCTTTAACTTCAACCAAGAGAAAATGTGATGTTATCTGTTATCTGTCCACAACATGAGGTTAATCATTATCTTGCTGCTGCATGATTTTGATCTCTCCATGTCAAAAAGTGCATGTGCTTTTCTATTGTGAACACTATGCATTGCTAAACACAGAAACGCTGTGCATGTGATACTCAGACTGCACTTCATATAAACATGGAATGCAGTCTGTTTACAGCCTAATAAACTGTACACATCACATGCTGTTGTTCTTTCATTTGGACCTGGTATGAACGGCATGTCTATGTGCAGCAGGCTGTAGAGACGGTTATTTACAGACAACAGCAACTGTGTGTGTGTGTGTGTGTGTGTGTGTGTGTGTGTGTGTGTGTGTGTGTGTGTGTGTGTGTGTGTGTGTGTGTGTGTGTGTGTGTGTGTGTGTGTGTGTGTGTGTCAGTGAGGATATTTACAAGCTGTCGTTACATAAGCAGGATTGCTGAGATGCCAGCATGTTAGAAATTAAACCTCCTCCTTTTCACTTTTTTCTTCCCTGCTCTCTTTCTGCATTTCAGTCAACAACAACAACAACATCAACAACGGCCCCGGTGGTGTCGCAGGTGCGTCCCCCTCCCCTCTTCAGCTGGCTCTCACATCCAATGGGATCACGCCTGAGAATGGCCCCGCCCCTCCAGGTCACCCTATGTGTTTATGTGGATTATTGGGAATCTAATAAGACCGTGCATTTGTGTTTAATCACTTAAATAAAAAAAATACAAAAGTGGTCCATTATGTTTTTGTAATAAATGTTTTATTTGCTGTGCAGGCGCTGAGCCGGTATCTGAAGGGGACACACCCGCTGACCCTGATCAGCTGATCGAGGATGGAGAGGAAAGGGAGGAGGGAGAGTCCACAGAGAACATCAGCAAAGAGGAAGCAGCTGAGAGACTGATGGTAGGGCGAGACGTTTTATCACCTCGCACGTTTCCGGGTCATAATTCCATCATATCTAAATTTGTGAAACATGTGGCTTCCACTGTCAGAAAGATATATTATTTTTTGTATAGTTTTCTGGAAATCCAATGAAAAAACTGACTTACAACTTCAGAACGTGTCTGGGAAGCCTCAACTTTTTAGATTTTCTCAGTTTAAAAGAAATCCACGAACAGTTTTCTGTACATCTATGATTAAACTGCAAACAGGAGCTGCTATTTCACCTTTTTTGAGTGAGAATGAAGAAGTTTTATAGTCATGCGTTTATAGTACAATACGTTTGTGTGTTTTTGCTTTAAGGAAACAGAGAAAATCATCGCTGAGCTGAACGAGACATGGGAGGAGAAACTGAGAAAAACAGAATCTATTCGTCTGGAGAGGTTCGTTTTATTTGACTCTGAGCTTTTTACATGTCTTCAGTTAATTTAGTCAATGTGTTTTGTTGTCACTTGTAAAAGTGCTAACGCTACCGTGAGCATCAGCGTTCGTACTGGTGCCGTGGGCTCTTTTTCTCCTGCGCTTATCAGACAAAACCTCAGGGCAGGTGTAGGAGTAGAAAAAGTCTCATCTCAGCTGCTGCATCTTCGTCTGCATTAGCAGGAAGTCTTGGAGCGTCTGCACTGACATGGAGTCAAAAACTCTTGTCTGTAACCCGGCAACAGCAACCACGCAAGGTTTAAAAGTCTAGAAACCCACCGAAGCGCGGTTTATGTCAGTCGAGTGATGCGACTTTTGGTATTTCACACGGTTCATAAAGGCAACAACAGGCTTAACGACCCTTTATTCACCATGGCACACGAGGCTCATGGGAACTGTAGTGTTTAGAGTGTTTAGGTGGAAAAGCTGAGTGTGTTTGTTCAGTAACTCACAGGGGAAAACATTTGGAAACATGAACAAAGAGAAGAAACATGGATGGTGACTGATGTCTCTGTTTCTCATTCACTCCCTCAGAGAGTCCCTGCTGGTGGAGATGGGCGTGTCCATAAAGGAAGATGGAGGAACACTGGGCGTCTTCTCTCCTAAAGGAGTGAGTGTATATTTAACCTTTCTCTCTGGTTTAGTAATACTTTAAGTTTAGGATTGTGTGATCACCTGCTGACGCACAATAATGCAGCTGTAGTTCCTGCTGGTACTTCAAACTGTGTATTTATTGTTTGAATTCACCTTTATGTCAGGTTAAATCTACCCTTTGAGTTAGTTGGAGATTTGTTTTGTTAGAACAGCCGATAAATGGGTTTTACTTCATGCCTGGGAGTGTTCGTCAAAGTCAGAGCCGAGTGTCTGCTGCTCATAAGCACCTGTGTCGAGTCACACTCAGCTTTGGAAGTGATGATGTCACTGTTTGCTTTTAAGTCTCTCTGGTCTTTGAGGTAAAATCGGTCTGCTGAGCAGATGTTTGAAATCCAGATTAAAACTCAGAGATGATCGATCACGCAGCAGCTTTTCTTTCCGTACCACGACCTCACCAACACTTTTAAATCTTTGCCTCATAAAGACGACATCTGACAGCCTCCACTCTGCCCTTAACGACCAGTTTTGACAGCTCAGCTCAGTAAAAACAACCTCGACTCAATGTCAGCATTCACTTTAATTGTGTTGTCTTCATTCATGCTTCACTTTGGTAAATTACGCTGTTTATAAAAGTGTTTATAAAAGGATCTGACTGAACACAGTCGTGGCTCCAGTCCTGTGTTCAGTGCTAGTTAAAAGTCAACAGCATCTAATCGTGTTTAGTGTTTTCACTAATAATAATAGTTTTCACTTTCACTGTGGGGATCTGCCCCACTTTTAAAGGGAAAAAAAAGATCAAGTAAAACTCAATTTTGTGTGTATGTGTTACAGACGCCTCACCTGGTCAACCTGAATGAAGACCCTCTGATGTCTGAGTGCCTCCTGTATTACATCAAGGAGGGCGTGACCAGGTCAGCTGTGATTTCATCAGTTAATCGATCGCTTTGCTGGTCTTTGCTCAGAAAATCTGATAAATTGAGTCTAAAGTTAGAAATAGTTTTAGTCGTCCTGTGAAGAGACCAGAGGTCAGAGACGCCTCAGCTCACCTCCGTGTGAAAGCAACAAATTACATACAGACACAAGTCTATCACTAGTTTAGCTGCTTTACTTCAGTAGTAGTAGTAGAAGTAACGACACTGTTTACATGTAGTGCATGCAGAAATCTGCTCGTGCAGAGGTTACCACATCAATAATGATCCACAGAGTCCTTGTTGAGAACAATGACAATGAGTCTCGTTACATATCATCTTATCAGACACGAGACTCGCAGTTATCTAACAACAACACGCAACAGCTTTATGATTTTGGACATCAGAAGCTCCTCCGTTAGTTTTATTGCAGGAGAAGTTGCACCTTCATCTTTAATCCTGGTGGAGTTGTATAACTAACTTGGCAGGTGTTTACATTAAAGTTTTTTCCTCTGTGTGTGTGTGTGTGTGTGTGTGTGTGTGTGTGTGTGTGTGTGTGTGTGTGTGTGTGTGTGTGTGTGCGCCAGGGTCGGGCAGCAGGACGTGGACATTAAACTGTCGGGTCAGTTCATAAAGGAGATTCACTGCGTTTTTGTCAGTGAGACCAACGAGCAGGGAGAAGGTGAGATTTTTACTCCTTGTATAAACCTGGTCACATGTCTGACACTCTGTTCCCTGATTGGCTGACTCTGCTCTGCTACACTGGTGTTCTGTGTTCAAACAGCTTCATTGTGCAGAGTTTAAGTAGCCACGGTCCTGTGCTTTGAGCGCCCTCTGCTGGTATAAACTGATCAGCTCCTGAAGTTCACTGCGTGATAACCTGGCCTGAACCACGAGCCGTTCAGTACTTTACAGACACCAGAGAAACATATTCTACTCTTTACCTGGAACTGTTTAACATCTGAAGTTATAAAAGAATAAAAGTACAAACTACAGTTGTAATTATTATTTATTAAAATCCGCTTCATTATTACCACCTGTTGCGTCATAGTTGGCCTATTCTACAGTCTGCTGTCATGGATCTCCTGTACAGTGCTGGAAGTTTTTCTTATTATCAAACGTGGTGTGAGGTTGTAATAATGATGTAGTGAACATATCTGTCAGCAGCCTGCCCTGCTCACTGTGCACAGTTTTTGTTTCTATTATAGGATCTGTATGATGTCATAAAGAGGTCATATCAGTAATATAGCCAGCTGTGAGCACACCTGCAGTCTGTCCTTCAAAGAAAGGAGCTCCAGCAGCTTGTTTCAGACAGAGGGGCTGCTCCCAGGGTGACATAGATAAAGATGATTTTGAACGGTTAGTCATGCCGTGCTGCTGTGGCAGTGTGAGCATAACAGAAATAAAAACATGGATTTGAAAATGCATTTTTAATCAGGTTTGGTTTCCATCACTCCTCAAAATAAGCTCTCTGACATGTTTGAGCAGCAGCTGGGTTTAAAGTCAGACCTGCAGACGGCTGAGTTGATCATTAACATGACTAATGACTCGACTAAGTCACCATGGCAGACAAATGTGCTCTTGAGTTCTGTCACATTACACCTCCTGATTTCACTGGCTTATGTTCATCTTCAAAGACTGAGAGCACACTCAAACCTGTCTGTGAAAGTTTCTTCACAGTTTAAGACAAGAAGGAATAAAAAGGTCCTGCAGTACTTTTCTTTAACACATGATGGCGCCACATGCGCGACGTGTATGATGTGTGGATTTAGAAACCTTGCAGCCAGGACATGTTGATTAGAAAAGTTTGAGTGTGTGTTTCTATATATATTAGCTTCAACTGCGTACTGACACTAAAATATATCATACAAATGTGGTATCACATGGGGCTAATTTGCATAAATGTACAGTAGATTATGAGGGGGAAGGTTCCTGTCTCACCTTAGAAGTCTGGTCTGTGTGTCGGCATTAGATCTTTGTTCTAGGAGCGTGTGTGGAGTCTGAAGCTGTGAAACCTGCAGCTCTGTTTCTGTTTTCATTGAAAGCTTGAAAAACAGCCGTGTGTGTGCTCAGTGAGTGACTCTCTTTCTTCTTCTCTTTCTGTGAAAGCTGCCAGGAAATCTGTCAGGTATTAGTCCCTGTTACTTGTTGTCATGGTGACATCATCCTCATGTTCACGCCCATGTTTCCTGTGCCCACCCTCCAACCTCCCCCCAACCCCAACCTCCCTACACCTGCCCTGCTCACCCTCTGTGTGTGTGTGTGTGTGTGTGTGTCTGCTGCTGTTACCCTGAGCGCTGTAGCACAATCCCTGGTTTCGGTGCATGTCTCTATGTGAGACCTCGAGGCCTCTGCAGTTGTGGCCACACCACTTTCAGATCCAGGTCTCTGGATTTTGGATCAACCTTTCTGCTAATGTTACAGGAGGAAGCCCAGATATTAAAGTCTTTGATGAAGCCCCCATAAAACATCCATCACTGCTGCTGATTCCTGCCTTCAGACTGTTTCATGCTCATGAGTCATATCCTCGTGTTTCACAGTTCTGTCTTTCAGTTCTCCTGATGAGTTTTTCTTCCTTTGCTTGGACTCTCTGTGTCTCCCTCTGCAGTGGTGGTCACTCTGGAGCCGTTAGTCGGAGCAGAGACCTACGTTAATGGGAAGCAGATCACAGACGCCGTCATATTAAAACAAGGTACAGAAACACACCCGGCAGCTTTAAACAAACAGGAAGCACCTGCCGTTACACGGCTGCTGCAGCTGTTACATCAGGTTTCCCTTTAGTTTACAGCTTATTATGCATCACGTGAAAAACAAAGAAGGTTTGATCGATGGAGTAAATACACCACCCAAAACCAGCAGCCGGCCTCAGACTCCGCTTCCTGTCTGTTTCCGTCTCTAGGTAACCGCATCGTCATGGGGAAGAACCACGTGTTTCGATTCAACCACCCGGAACAGGCGAGGCTGGAGAGGGAGCGCAGCGCCACGATGGAGCAGCAGGAGGAGCCGGAGGACTGGAACTATGCCCAGAAAGAGCTGCTGGAGAAACAAGGCATCGACATCAAGCTGGAGATGGAGAAGAGGTAGACGTACCTTTACTACACCCTGAAGTTTGGGTTTCAGATAGCATCTCTAGACACACTGTAAACCACGTCAGATATCAGAGCTGTTGCCTGATTACTGATCATCTCATTGGTTGTGTGTGTGTGTGTGTGTGTGTGTGTGTGTGTGTGTGTGTGTGTGTGTGTGTGTGTGTGTGTGTGTGTGTGTGCTGCAGACTGCAGGACGTGGAGACTCAGTACCGTAAAGAGAAGGAGGAGGCTGACTTGCTGCTGGAGCAACACCGACTGGTGAGTTTCTCCTCCACGTGAGCTCGTGTGGTGACCGCTTCTGGTGTTTAACCTTCTCTGTGTGTGCAGTACGCAGACAGCGACAGCGGGGACGACTCGGACAAACGATCCTGTGAGGAAAGCTGGAGGCTCATCTCCTCCCTGAGAGAGAAGCTGCCAGCTAATAAGGTACCAGCTCCTCGAGCTGCTCCTTCATAGCTCCTCATGTAGCTGTGACTTCACATAAAGACCTTAGTGGCTGTTCCCCGGCTCACCTGTGTGTCTGTGTCCAGGTGCAGTCCATAGTAAAGCGCTGCGGTCTGCCCAGCAGCGGTAAGAGGAGGGAGCCTCTGCGAGTCTATCAGATCCCTCAGAGGAGGAGGATCAGCAAAGACCCCAAACGGGTGACCATGGAGGACCTCCGCATGCAGGCCGTCAAAGAGATCTGCTACGAGGTCTCACAAACACACACACGTGATATCAGTGTTTTCTGTCTGGTTTCAGAGGGACAGATAAACATTTTTGAACGTTTTCTAATAGATACTCCCATATCTGTGCATTCAGGGGCAAAGAATTAAACCTTTACCTTGAAAAATACACTGGACGTGTCCTTTAAACCATTAAACCCTCCTGGAGACGGCTCCAGGTGGGCACTTTAGACTGCTCTGTAGTGTTGGACGTTTTGGTTTAATCCAAGATGCAGTTTACCAAAGATTAAGGACTTACTTAGACAGACTCCCAATTAGTTAGACTCCATTGCTCCAGTCAAACACAACATATGAGTGGTAAATCATGAGAATCATATATGATGCATTTCCCATTAAAGCCAGCATAAGTAGATTGTTACCGACTTTGCTGCGTTACCATAAACTCTGTATAACAGATAATCGTAGCTAATGCCACATTTCCTTTTCCTTTCCACATTTTGAAGCCTCGGCTGTAGCATTTTGCCTGCCACTGTGTTGAGTTCTCAATCCATAGACTGTACGGAGCGTCACACTGACACTGGTATCAGCTAATTAGTGTAAAAAATAAGTCCACTAGAGCTCAGAGTTCTTGGATGGTCTGTAGTACAACTAGTACATACCCATGATACAGTGTGGATTGGTCTGTTCAGCCTGTGTGTGATAAATTATGTGACTGTCTGAAGATATCAAACCAAAACATAGAGAGGCAAATTACAAACCTAAGTGGGTCCAGATTTGCCCATTTTTGTGGGTTCTGTGCAACGCTCAGGCCCTGCTTTACTGTGTAAATACCATTGAAGTCCATTGCTAGGTGGCTGTCAGGCAACCTGACACGTCATAATATATTGTGCACTGTACATTTAATGAGGTGTTTCCGGAGCCTTGATACTAAAAAAGGGTTATTGTAGCCCATTGATATGTGGTTCCAAGGCCATGTGATGATGTCATTGTATCTGATGTAGATAATAACCTGCAGGAACAAGAATCTGTGGACAAATTTGGTGGATTAACAGTAAATCCACCAAATCCAGGGGCAGGGATTGCTCAGTAGGTCGAGTGGTGGCCCCATGATCGGAGGTCGGGGGTTTGAATCCACTAAACGGGTACTCTTAGGTATCCCTGAGCAAGGTACCGTCCCTGTCCACTGCTTCACTGAATGAATGGGTTAAATGCAGAGAGGAATTTCCCTATAGAGATCAATAAACTATATATTATTATTACTATTAAATTAACCAGCACAAACAGTCCAGAGGACATTAGAGGAGGAGCATTTTGATGTTTTCTTTTTTCTTCTTCTTTAAACTGTTCCTCTGTGTGTGGCGCCCCCTCAGGTGGCTCTGGGAGACTTCCGTCACTCCCGTCAGGAGATCGAGGCGCTCTCCATCGTCAAAATGAAGGAGCTGTGCCGCATGTACGCCAAGAAGGACACCAACGAGAGGGAGAGCTGGAGGGCCGTGGCCCAGGACGTCTGCGACACTGTGGGCATCGGAGAGGAGAGGAGCCCTGCCGCTGAAGAGGGAGGAGGAGGAGGTGGAGGAGGAGGAAGTGGTGGTAGTGGAGGAGGAGAGACAGTGGAAGGTGGAGAGAAGAGAGGCGTGTACGATTTGAAGGCTCACATCGATAAGCTGACAGATATTTTGGAGGTGAGTTATGCTAAGCTTGTTTTGTTCACAACCTGAGGATGGTGCTAGTGGAGCAGAGCTAAACGTGCGCGACTTCTGCAGGAGGTGAAGCTGCAGAACAACATGAAGGACGAGGAGATCAAAGCTCTGAGAGATAGAATGATCAAGATGGAGAGCATCATACCTGTTCAGGTAAGTTCGCACCTCCCGTCAAACCATTGTTGCCTCCTCCAGTGTTAATTTTTGTTTGACTTGTTTCCAGGACGACGACATGAATGGTGAGGGAGGAGAATCCCCTCAGAGAGAGAGAGACGGGGACGTGGACGAAGACGACGACTGCCCCAACCACCCAGAGGTCAGAGTTCAGCGGCTGATGGATGAGGACCCGGCATTCAGGAGAGGGCGGCTCCGCTGGATGAAAAAGGAGCAGCAGCGGCTCCTGAACCTGCAGCAGCAGAACATCACCAAGAAGCTGCGAGGACAGAACCAAAGCCAAGGTGAGCACGGGGGTGTGGCTGTACCGTTAGAAGTCCCCACTATTGATCGTCATCGATAAACCTATCAAATGATCTGGAATTAGTTGAGTCGGTTGCTTGTACTGTGTCCATCTTTTATTTACAGTCTGTGCCCTGACCCCAGCCCTTGCTCCTCCAACTCTTCCAGGTCAGAACACCCCCACTGTCCCGATCCACCTCCCGGGAACCGGTCGCTTCATCCCTCCCCAGGAGTGCAAGCTCAAGTTCCCCTTTAAGAGTAACCCTGCCCACCGGCTGTCCTGGGGACCCGCTAGCGCTGCCCTGCAAGCTCTGGGTCTGGGCGAGGGAGGAGGAGCAGGAACTGATGCTGGTGAGCAGAAGGAGAACAGGGGAGGAGAAGCTACAGGTTCTCCCTCACCTCCGCCTCCCCCACAAGGTCAACTCCCTGGTCTCTTGCCCCTCCCCTTCCCAGCTCAGCCTCCTCGCATGCGCACCCCCAGCCCTCATCGTGCCTGGCAGCAGCGTAACCAGGGCAACCAGGGTGGCTACCACTACAACAACCAGGGCAACAACCAAAACCAGCAACGTCGTTACCGCCGAAACTCCCTGGACAGCTCGCCACAGGGCAACGGGAGCTACGACAATGACCAGCACTTCAGCGGCGGTGGCAACGGTGGTCACCAGGGGCGACCAAGACAGAGGAGGGGGTTTTCCCCTGGGCCAGGGGGGGAGAGAGGAGGAGGAGGCAGAGGAGGAGGAGGAGGAAGCAGAGACGGGGACAGAGACAGAGACGGAGGCTTCCCTTATAATCAACGCCAGCACCATCAGTACCACCACCACCATCCCTACTACAACCCCCACAATGCACCATTCCAACCTGGACCTCACCCTCACCCCCATTACCACAGCCTGCCGCGGTCAGGGGCCCCGGCCCTTCCTGCTGACATGCTACTGGGCATTGTGCCGCCGCCAGGGGTGTGGGCTTTCAACACTCCGCCCAGGATGAGGCGGCAGTTCAGCGCACCGGACCTCAAAAACAACAACAACAATAACAACAAGGAGACACCGATCTGACCTCTGACCTCCTGAACATGGAGGCTCCTGATTGACTGCGGGACATGGGGTGATCCTGATGCTGTAGAGAATCGGCTGAGAGTGTGGTTGTGTGTGCACGTGTGTGCATTTGAGCACTTTTACACACCCTGTATCCTCTGTCCTGCTGTGCGTGTGTTTGTGAAGCTTTTAGCTTAGCACAGGTGAGCTGTTAGCAATGCTGACGTGCAAAAATTGAATTTCAATTTGTTTTATTCTATTTTATGGAGTTTGTCGTTCTGTCAGACTTTGATCACGTAATGATTTAGCTTTTTTTTTTCTTTTTTAAATTTCACCGATGGCTGATGTTCGGGCGTTGATCACTGTGTTAACGAGGTGCCTTAAAGCCGACATGTCTGCTGGTGAAGCTAATTTTGTTTTAAAGATAAAGGACGTCAGTTAGCAGGGTGGTGTTTTTGTGTTTGATGAGGGGTTTTTTTAGCTTTTAGTGCTAGCAGGTGAAGAATAGGTGAAATTGTGAGCTTCGCCTAGCCTACGCTGCATTCAAGTTCCATGGGAATTACAGATTGTACAGCTTGTTAAACTCACTTCAACCCTCAAACTGATGATTAGGAATTTAATCAGAAACAGTAAACTTGTATTTACATCTTCTCCCATGTGATTTGAATGCAGCATCGCTGAGTGCTACAAACCAAAGAAAGCGGCTGTGCGGCACTTGCTAGTCAGGGTAAAAGCGTCAGTGCAGGAATAATAAGTGCCAATGGGGCATTTGCAAAAACAGCAAAACAAAAATGGAGAAGTTGAGGGTGAGAACGGCGAGTGTAAATGGGCCCCTGAGGAAGAAGAGGTGCAGAGAGGAGTAGTAGTAGGTGCTGCGCTTGTCTTACCTGTCAGATGTTTGTTTTTAAGAGCTGTGTGTGTATATTTGAAGTGTTAAATCTAATTTTTAAACACGTGAAATGTCCTGACGGTAGGTTCACCGTCTCTGGCAATCGTGGGAAATGCAAGTGATGCGTAACACATGATGATGTCCCAAGGTGGGAGTTGATGTTGGAGCTCAGAGACATAATCATGAAGGGATGGATTTGTTTATGTAGGGCTAGATAAGCAAGGAATTCTGGGAGATGTATTGAGAAGGAGAAGGTTTTGAGGGAGAGAAGAAGCTGATATACAGTAAGCGTTTTGTTTTTGAAGAAGTAACAGACACTACAGCATGTCAGGTGTGATACAAGATTCCTGCTGTAAGGATGTGACACTTTTTACATTATATCCAATTCAAGAAGGATGGGAAAATTCACTGCTGCCTTCCTGGCACGTAGGGATCCTGGAAATTGTGGCCTCCACCTGTTTCAGGTTGCTTTTAATTTCTTCTCTTTTTCAAACATGACATTTACACACACATATTTTTGCTGGTGTTGTGTTCACTTCACATCTTTAAGATAGGAAACAAATTTCCAGCTTCCTGCGTCACAGCGAACGCAGCGTTTTATGTGCGTTTTATTCGCACTGAATTAATGAAGACAAGTTTACTGCCAAGAGGGGCTGGGAGAGTTGGCGATACTGCGCACACTCCACCCACTCAAAGCAGAGGATTCTGGGAGTTAACAAGTGGAGCAACTATGAGCTCTGTGGCTTTTAAGGCTTTTTTCATAAAAAGGTTAGAACCAACCAATGGCAGCGCTCCTTCCTGCTGCAAGAGGGAGTCAGTGCCATGACGATGACGATAATTATGATGAAAATGAAAGTGATTGCAGTTGGCCTGAGAAGCATGATGTCAGCAGAATCTCTGGAATTGACCAATCACAGGACAATCTCTAAACCTGCTTCCACTGCCGGGCCTGATGGGAAAATTAGTTTTTTAATTTTTTAATTTTTTAGATTTTTTTCCAGCTTGGGCCTCCGATTGGCTGTTTGTTTTTCATTTGTGTATCACATCATGTACTGCGTATTTTAACCAACCTCCATGTTTGACCTTTGGTTTATGATGTCATCAGTCATCATCACTTATTAATATAATTATCCTAAAGTTATACGTGTCATTAATATTTGGTTATTGTGGATGCTGCTAAAGGGAGTTTCTTTGCCCTCACGCAAACCGTTGAGTTAGTGTATGTGTTTGTGTATGTTGAGTGTGTGTGTGTTGGGCATCTGTTTGTGTGTTTGTGGGTTAACTTAGAATCAAACAGTAAAGTTTGTTTTACTTCATAAAGCTGATTTTAGTCATTATTCTTTTTCTTTGGTTAGTTTTGTTGTTTTTTGAGGTGGAATGGGGGAGAAACTTGGAGGGGGTGGGGTGTTGCCATAGCAGCCATGACTCGGCAGAATTCCAGAACATTCTAGAACTCCCCTCACTGACAGGCTGTGCCCATTCCCTGCACCTCTGCTCTAATCATGACCTCAGAATCTGTGACATTACGGCGTGTTATCGCTTCAGAACTCGAAACACGGATATGGATATGATGACATCATGGTGTAGCCCTCTTCCTGTTGGCCCAGACCCCCTCAGTTGCTTTTTTGTTATTGTTGTTGTTTTCTCTCTGTATGTGTTGGGTTGTCTTTTGTTGTTGTTTTGGTTGTATCAGGAACCAATCTCAGGCTCTACCTGCAGACAACATGATGGCAATAAACTGTCTCCAAGATTCAAAATAAGACTCACTTCTTGTGTTTTTATTGGGTCTTCATCCATGAAGGATGGCTATGGAAGCTGAGAGGTGTCAGTGCATTCAAACACCCCCCTGCCCAAAACAAAACATTAATGTGGGTGTAGTTTCCAGGGGCCCGTTCTTCGTACCTCGCTAAGTAAGTTAGCTGGATTAGATTGTTGACGATTTCCTGGATCAGTCGGTTCCCCGAAGCTCATCCGAAGCTCATAGCAACAGAGCCGTAAGCGTAAACCTGCTCGGGAGCAGGTTTACTTTATGTAAACAGGATTAGATCGCGGCCACGCAGGTATGTCCGCTTCATTTATATGAAAGCAACAGCGATATTCCACCACTGTTTCACCATAAATAAATAACATCAATGTAACTAAAGATAATGCAGCACTTGATCCTTTTATTGATTCCATACAGATACATACAGGTCATTTCCTAAAAAAGGGAAATGTACTATTAACATTCTATTACATGTATGTGATTATTTCAGATGTAATTCATATTTCAGAGTAGTAATTGTAAATCACTTCATGTAATCAAGATGAGAGACCATGGCTATAAAAGCGAAGGTGGATTTGGGAAGTCTGTCGCAGCCATGTCCTGTCCGTATACGCGACCAACCCATTGCAGAAGGTGCAAGATTGATAAGGAGAGTTTTCAGAATCCAGCATATATTGCGGGATAGACAGGATCCTTTAGCTCAGCGCGACAGTGTGCTCATAGAGAGATATCGATTTTCCCGTGAGGGTATTATTTACTTAACCAACTTGTTGACGAGGGGATGCAGGACCACCACCTGTCTTTTTTTTGCTGTTGTTAAATGATTTCCATGACAAAAATGAGCCTGCTGTTTACTGGTCAAGATCCACTGCCTGTTTGAGAAAATAACTTTTCCTATTAGTTTGTTGTAGTAAGTGAAAATTGTTAAGTAATAACCCAGAAGTTTAATTTATGGATGGCAACAATGTGTTTTTCCAGGGTGCAAACAAGTTTCCCCATTTAAGAGTTGCTTTAAATGAGTCCTAGAATAGAAATGATAACTCAGATAGAATAGAAACGACAAAGCGGAAAGTATTTTTCGTTGCAAAGATCACAAGCAAAAAGAGCTGTACATTTATGCATTTTTTGTGTGCGTAATGTGACGTAGAATTCATCTGTATGTTAATTATTTTCCCTTTAAGGCAATGTCACAGTGGCAGTGGACTAAACACAGTCGCTCTTAGGGGATTCCCAAGAGGGGTTTCAGACCAGATGGCATATAGAAATTTTCCATTGAATTCTGGATTTACATCAGGGTCTCTTCCCAGGTAGCACTTAATGCATTTATATGAATTTAAAAAAAATGCAACCTAATATAAAAACATGATAACGGAACAGCAGCTGCCAGTCAGAAGCAGGAACCTTTACCTGGAACAAAAAACACTAGTTTAGATCAATGCATCTTTGTATTCTCTTGTAAAACAAGCTTTTTCAGGTGTATCTTCCAATCTGCAGTAGTGTTTATCATGTTGGCTGATGGCTGCTTTGTTAGAAGTCAAATCCATGTGCTTTAAATTTGAGTCCCAAACTCACAAATTCTATTTTTTTTTTCAGTGTAACACTGTTTTTCATTTTAACTAAATTGAAGTCAATTCTATCAACCACTCCAGCTTTTCCTGTAGCTCCAGAAACTACCTGAGAATCTCTGTTCTCTGTTGTGAAACCAAAGGTTCCTCGGTTTACCCTGGGGTCTCTTCCTTTCCTGTCTGGAAAATCACCAATTGGAGGTGCCCAGGAGGCAACCGAACCACTTGGCCAAATCACCTCAACCTCACCTGCACCTCCGTGCAGTATCCTGGCTGTTTTCTTTCAATGGACCAGGGAGGTGGACCCCATCCAGAAACGTTGGCGTTATGGATGCAGATCCAGCTTAGAAAGTTACAGGGTCAAGCTTGATGAAGAGGCCAGGTGAACAATGTTCATGTTCTTTAGCTCCCTGCAAAACTATGTTACATTTGGGCCTGATACAGCTACTGAAGTGAGTGTATGAATGTGTTTGTGAATGGGTGAATAAGGCCTGTATTAGTCAATTTGCCTTTTAGTAGACACAGGCCTCATAGCCATAAATGCTGACAGCATTTTTACCTATTTAATACTGCAGAATGGCCTCTTCAGTTTTCTACAGCTTCAACTATTCATAGATTCACATAAATGAAGCGTAGTGTTATGCATACTGGTAAGGTTGGGTTGCCTCTATTTTAAAAACTCAATTTTCTTTGTTGCCAGGTTGACATGTCTTTGTTAAAGTATGTTAACAGCGGTCACAAAGTATCCTTCTATCCATTGAGCCATCATCTTTTCCTTGTCCAGTGTTGGGTATTCACAATGTCCTGACAACCTAAAATGGCACAATTTGACACTCAGGAGGAGCAGCTCTACTCCGAGGCTACATCAGTACTGCCTTTGGGATAGATGTGGAGAAGACTTTCTCCTTTGCTTACATGGAGGAGACGTTGTTCATTGCAGCCATACACTGTGTTTATTCACTGTGTTTATTCACTGTGTTTATTCACTTTAGCAGATCCAACTTTATTTCAGCGAAGTTTCAAATGTAACACGCCTTATTTTTTCACGCCGCATCAGTTGGATTTAACTGAAACAGAGACCGCTTGACTCAACAGATTTCCTGCAGTAACCCACACATCAGTGCTGGCAGCTCTGCTGTCAGAATGCTTCAGAACATCCTTATCGACTCTGGTTCACAACAGCAGGAAGTTTGAACATGCAAGTAAACATTATGTGAAACACTCAAAGAGGAAGCTGTCGAGAAGACATGAAAAAATCGAAACACACATGCCGTGAGGCTGGAGAGTCAAACATACACAATCTGTCAACTGAACAGTTATCACACTTCCTGCTTCAGTAGCTGTCAGTCAAAACACACACACACGTACACAGGAAGTGCTCACTTCCTGTTCTACCAGGCATCTCCTCCTTCACTTTCTCCATCTCTTCTCTAAGACTGAGACATACCGACAGTCTCTGAGAGTCTCAGTGAAGATGCGGCACCTCCTCCTCCTTCTCATCCTCCTGTCCTGTGTTCCCATGGGAGTAGCAGTGGCCGGTTGCCGCAGTGACCGGGACAAGGACCACCGGCCCAGGGAGAACTGCACAGCAGCCGGCTTCAGCGACATCGCAGTGGGGCTTGAACCCACGACAATGGTAATGCCACAAACCACAGGAAGTCAAGTGTGAAGGAAATAACTCCGTTTAATTTTTTAAAAAAAACTGTGAGTGTGAAATTATATTTATAGTTTAATTCTGTAATTAGATTAAACCATTTTAAGACATCAAATTTAATTTAAACAAATTAGAATGATGATGAATGAGTTAAAAACATGTGACTAATAAATAAACATGTTTATTATGACAAACATAAATCCTTCGAGGAGCTTTTTTATTTTTATTATTATTTTTTATTGTAATTGGCTTGAAGTTTATCTTTAAAACAGAAATTTCAGAATGAGCGGAGTTTAATTAATTTCTGCAGAGAAATGTCTTTCTTACAACTGCTTAAACTAGTAATATACTAATGATGACGAATTAACATTTAGTGAATAGAAAAGATACACCTGTAAATATTAATATTAATTTGATAAAGTAGAAAAACTGACAAAGGACATGAATGAAAATTTAGGAAGTTGAACAGACTTTAAAAACCAGCAGCATTCTGAGAATTTACAGTAATAAGCAGCACAGTAAGCAACCTTATAACACATTTTAGGTTCCGTTATCCATATCCATGAACCTGGCATCCATTTTTTGTAATTTGTTACACCAGTACATTATAAGTAGGTATTTTATTCGGTGAGCATGTTTTACTTTCCCAATAAATACACAGGATTTACTAAAATGTAAAATCCAAATATTGAAGGCCTGCTTAATGTGACTTAGTTTCTCGTAATTACAATATTTATGAAGAAATTCTTGTCTTGCTCTTTACTTTTTAATATCTTTGTTTTGACAAACTGACCATTTTGGATCTTTGTCAAGAACTAAATGATTATCTGGGATTTGCAGACTTTCCGCTGTGACAACTGCAGCTAAGACTGACAGCCAATATCAAAAACGTTTAGCTAATCTCTCCATGCAGCTAGACAATTACCATACACTTACACAGCTAAACACTCTTTATTTTAACACATGCAGTGAGGAAAATGAGAAAATTTTGTTTAAAGTGTTGAAAAAAAAGTTTAAATCCCATAATGGATCAAGTGTTTGACTGACAGGAGGAGACCAAAGCAGAGACACAAATTTCCTGTTTAAGAGATGACACTTTACAGGAAACCACCACAGCTCTAAAGGCTTCCACATTTTCTGTCTATCTTTAGATCCTGTTGTTTCCCAGTAACCTGTTCTCCAGTCTGTCCTGGTCCTCCTTCCAGGTCTTCCCAGAGATCTATGAGATCGACCTCACAGGAAACAAGGTTTCTGTCTGCCTGTACAGTGGCCACAAAGTCAACAGTGGTTGTAAATGAATCTTAGAAAACATGAAGTTAGTCAGCTTCTAATACAAAGGGATGTTTTGTTGTCCAGGTTCCAGAGGTAATCCCGACTGCTAGTCCCATTCTCCCCACACTTAGTGTCCTCAGGCTGGGATCAAACCGTCTGACCTCCCTCCCTGACGGCTCCTTCTCTGCCTGCCCAGGTCTGACTGAACTCTACCTGGAAAACAACGCTATCAACTCTCTGAGTGATCACACCTTTTCTGGACTCACTAAGCTGGAGGTCAGTATGTGCAAAATCATAAAGGAGGTTTAGAAAATACAGACAGTCAGTGTCATGTCATCAACACTTGAGAATTGAAGGTAGTGAGAAACATAGCTGATAAGATTCAAGAAGTAAGAGTGTAGCAAAGTGGTCCTTGGCTCCCTTTCATTATGGCCAAAACTTGATTGGACTTGAAGTCATTCATTTCCACTCACCAGCTAATGTGTTAAATACACAAATTCAACTGC